GGTGCGTTGCGGTACGGGGCACGTCGTCCAGGCCTTCGATCTCCGATGTGCGATGCCCGGGCCGGGGCCGAGGCCCAGGGCGCGGACAGGGAGGCTCCACAGGTGAGGTCTATCGGAGGGCGGAATCTGGCTGGAGCTGACGCAAGCTGACGGCTGACGCGAGGCTGTCACTGGCTTGCTCGGCCACGCTGTGGCCACGCGACATCGCGGCCCCCTCTCCCTCCCTGTTCCGCTCGCGTGACGCCGTGGCAGCCTGGCAGCTCGCCGATTACCCAGATCGGCTCGTTTGGACCATGGCGGCCGTGCACGGCGTGCCAGCCCGTCGGGCTTAGAGCCTCGGCCCGCGCCGCGCTAATCGAATCAGGGGACGGCACGGCGGCACGGCCTTGTCCGCGTCGCCGCTCTTGACTTGAACGCCCCGAGACTCCCGAGGGCGCGCTAATCCCTGACGGGTCAGGGCGGCCTGCTTCGAGGCGCCGGGCCCTGGCCTGCCCTGGGCCTGGCCCTGGGCCTGGGCTCGGGGGGAGCGGCACGCTGACGGCGTGGTGCCGCGCGCGGACCGCACCGCACGCGGAAGTGGCGGTGATGGCCGGGCCGCGTCACGTCGCGCGCCACTCAGTTTGTTCACCCCTAAATGGCCGCCGCCGTGGATGGAATCATGGAATGGAAGGGAATGGGGTTCGTGATTGAGTCGGCCGGCCGGGGTGGGCGGCCAGGGTGGGCTCGTGCCTCGGCTCATGCCTCGTGACCAAGGTCAAGCGGAGCCTAGGCCGAGGCCCTAACGGAGGCCCTAACCGCCACCACCGCCACGTCCATCGATATGCCCGCACCGCGTACCGCGTGTTGCTCCTAATGTCCACCGCACCAAATTGACCCCCCACCCCGCCACCCTTGCCTTGCGTGAGCCAATCGCTGTTGTGTCCGGGCGGGCTAATTAAACCACCTTCTCCCTCTGATGTTGTCCTTGTTGACGACGGTGTTGTTGTTGCTGCTGCTGTGGGGTCCTCGACCCCCTCCCCCTCTCCCTCCCGATCAAAACAGAGCCACGTGACTGGCGGGCAGTGCAGGGCGAACAGAAGGGCAGTCATGGTGGTCACACGGGCGCCACCGCGGCTAGCACCGCTAGCACTGCTAGCGCCCTCCTCAGCCTTTTCGTCGCTATGGGAACTGGACTCCAAACACTGCCCACACGCCGCCCTACCCCGCGACGTAGCCAGGCCCTGGCCAGGCCCTCTTCCGGCGCGCGCGTCCACACAAGAGACTTGCCCCATTCAGCAGCGCGCTGTAATCATGCCCTCTGTCGCCACGTCCAGCGAGCGGCCAACGCGACAGCGCCGCGCCCTTTTGAAGGCCGTCGAGCTGACGTGGTGCCGTGCCGCCGTGGCACGCCGCGTGCACTGTGTCTGTCCACTACATTCCACGCACGCCGCCATATCACGCTCACACTCGCGGGGTTTTTGAGGGGCATCGCCCTGCCTCGCCCCGCCTCGCCCCGCCTCGCCCCGCCTCGCCCCGCCCGCCCCGCCTCGCCCTGGCGTCAAAGGGCCGCTTCGCGCTCCTCATCGTGGAGGCCACTTCCTGGTGGAAGGGATCATCGCCGACTCGGGGAGGGGGGGGGGGGCGGCGATGATAAACACGAGGATAATAACCGCGCGGTCGAGGTGAAGAAGAGTGTGAGTGTTTCGGAAGTGGAGGGCCGGAGGGGGAAGAGTCCCGGCCGGCGGCGGCGTCCCAGAGGCCAGGCCATGGGCCAGGCGGCCATGCAGCGGGTCGGCCACCCTAAGCCATCCAGTCCCTGCCGTCCCGTCCCGGCCGTCCCGGCTGCCGTCTGGGTCCCGGCGCGGCGTGGCGCCACCCGCTGCGTCACCGGCCGCTGGCCGCACGGAAGGATCCCTTGATTATTAATCCTAATCACGCCGACGTCAGCGACCCGGGAGACCGGCAGACTGACTCCGAGCGGGAGGTCTCTCTCTCTCTCTCTCTCTCTCTCTCTCTCTCTCTCTCTCTCTCTCTCTCTCTCTCTCTCTCTCTCTCTCTCTCTCTCTCTCTCTCTCTCTCTCTATCTCTCTCTCTCTCTCTCTCTCTCTCTCTCTCTCTCTCTCTCTCTCTCTCTCTCTCTCTCTCTCTCTCTCTCTCTCTCTCTCTCTCTCTCTCTCTCTCTCTCTCTTTCACTCGTAGGGCGTCCTGTGAGGGGGTGAAAGGGACACACCGACGGGACCCCTCTCGGAATCAGCCCGCTGGACGCTCTATAGCGCTCTATAGGGCGGCCAGGGCGGCCCAAGCCCACCAATACTCCTCCCCGCCCGGCCCAGTCAAGCCACTCCACCTGAGCCCCCTCTGGCGTCCCACGAGTTTCGCCTGAGGCGCGGGGCCCGGGTCTCTGCGCAGAACTTGGCGAGGGTCTTTGTCCGTGGTCTTGTCGGATACCCCGGAGCCTTGCCTCGGCCTTGCCTCGGCCTTGCCTCGGCCTTGCCCCGCCCGGAGCTCCGGTCTCCGCGCCACTCCAGCGGGCTTTGCGCTCCGCACGGCTTGCCATCCACGCCCTGACGCCCTGACGGAGACAGATACCGGGTCACCGAGTGTCTCTCTGTCTCTCTCGCACCTATGAGTGCAAGGGACGGTGCGACGAAAACGACTCTCGGAATCAGTCTACTGACGCCATGCCTCGGCGTGCCCCTCGTCCCGGGTGACGTCGCCGCCATCTGCCAGCCCATCTGTCAGCCAGAGTGGCGTCCTGACGCCTCCCCGGGGCCCCGTCACCGAGCCGCGCACCGCGCACCGCGGCGCACCGCAGCCCCGCGACACCGCCTGGCCTGGCCACCTTGCTCCTTTATTTATTTATCTATGCGTGCTCGGATTTGTCTCCGTCGCGGCACGGCCAGGCACGGCGTGGCGCTCGGCCCGCCGGTTGGCGGCTGGCGCGGCTGGCGGCGGGGCCCGGCTAGGCGGGATGTCGCTTTGGCTGCTTTGGCCGGGTCGCGGCGTGGGCGTGGCACGTTGGCTCCAGCCCCGGCTCCAGCTTCAGCCCCCCGCTCCAGCCATCGATCCAGAGGGATGCTGTGCCCCCGCCCCCCACCGCGCAGCGACCGCGCAGCGCGCAGCGCCACTATTCCACTTCCGGCGGTTCCGGCTCCGCTTCGGGAGGGCTTCGGCTTCGGGAGGCGGCTTCGGCCGAACTTCGGCCGTCGGCGTCGGCGCGCGCTTCGCCTGGGCCCGTTCGCCTCAGCTAGGCCCTTTGTTTGGGCTGCACCACACCCATCAGCGGGGCGTGGCGGGGCGTGGCAGGGGCAGCATGGGGGTGGCGGCCCGGCCAGGCCCGGTGGCGCGGCTTGTACCTTTAGTTCTCACCACATGAATAATGGCGGCCTGGCTTGTCTTTATTGAATAAGTGATGCGGCAATGGCCCGGCGGCGCCCCAACAGACTCGCCTCTGCAGGCTGATTCCGAGGAACAGTTTCGTCGCCCTGTCTTTGTCGCACGCGTTGGGCACCCCGCGGGGCCGCGAGAGAGACAGAGCGACGAAGCCGCCGTCGCGATGGTGCTCCGGGCCGCACAGAGTCACCAAGGCCGGCCTTCTCCTCGCACTAGGTCACTCGCAGGGCGTCGAGGAGGGCCGCAGGAGGGCGTCAGGAGGGCGGGGCCCTTGCCCTTGTCGCGGCCACACGTGCCGGTCGGATTGATGCGCTCGACGGGGAAGTGGACTGACAGTGCCGGGCCGGGCCGGGGGCAGGTCGACGTCGACCACGTCGGCCACGGCGGCCGGGTCAACGAGGGGCGGGTCCAGGATGCGGCGCCCCATATATTATATTCCGGGACGGTTGTCCCCCTCCCCGCCCCCGGCCCGCCCCTTCGCGGGCCCTCGCGGCGGGGGGCGGACGACGGCGCGGACGTTCGCCGTGATATAATGGCCCGAGAAATCCCTGCTGGAAAACTTGCTCCTCCCGCCAGGCCGCTGGCTGCGCCTTCCTGCGCCTGGCTGCGAAGAGCAGCGAGCAGCGGGAAGGAAATAAAAGGAAAGAGCAGAGCGGAGCCAAGAACAAGACCAAGACCAGCGCCGGGGGCGGGCTGGAGTGTAACTGAAGACGTGCTCTCTTTAGAGGAAGCTCGAGTGAATTTGCGCTTGCGCCGCCGCCACCGCCGGCTAGCTTCCCTTCCTCTTTCCGCTGCGAGACGGGTCATGACCCTCGCACAGTGGGCCAGAAGACCGGTGGAGGCGGCCAAAACTCTAGACGCGTTTTGAGCTCCAGAGTCTCTAAAGAGGCCTCGAACCGAACGAGTGATCCCACCAATGGACTCCTCGTTCGGAGAGCAATCCATTGGCGGGGTCACACGTTCGGTTCGAGTCCCATTTAGCGACTCTGTAGCTCAAAACGCGTCTAGAGTTTTGGCCGCCTCCACCGGTCGTCTGGCCCACTGTGCCTCGCTTCCTCGCTCCGCGTGCGCCGTACGCCGCGCGCTCAGCGCCGGCGTTCAAACCGAGCGCGCCAACGCGTGCTGCGTGCTGCGCCCTGCCGACCAGCGCCGCAACTTGAACCAGGCGGCGCGCGGTACCTCACGCCGCCGGCAGATGGCGGCACCGGCACTCGCAGCAACCAGATACCTGGTACCCGCCACCCGCCGCCGCCTGCGGCTACAGGTACGGGTACGGGTGCCTCTTGTACACCGTCCGCCGCGAGACGAAAAGAAAGAAGCAGTCGGAGCGGATCAGGTTTGCAGGCGGTGGGGGAAGGGGGAAGGGGTCGGGGACAAGGGGTGGAGAAGGGCGTGTTGACGAAGTTCAGGGCTGCTGCCGCTGCTGCGGTGGTGGCGGCGGCCGGTTCAGGTTGAGGTGGAGGCTACACTGCCTATGGTGCCTTTGCCTTGCCTTTCCCGCTGCCACTGCTGCAGCAGCGCTGGCGGTACGGCGTGTGGCGGCATGGCGCGCGGCAGGCGGGGCGTGGCGGGGCGCGGCCGAGCGGGCGCGAAGCGCGCGAAGCGGCAGGGCAGAAGGCGGCCGCGTCCCGCGTCAGTGCATCGCCTGCCCCCAGAGCCGCCAGCCGCCGTTGCGTCGCTGCGTCCGTGTGGCTGTCGCTCCGTCCGTCCGGTCCCCGCGTAGCAGAGCGCCCCCTGCCGAACGCCTAGCCCGCCTAGCCTGACCCCGGGACTGGGAACTGGCTGGACTCTCCCAGCCCTAAGTCGGCGCGTGTCCGTGGAGTGCCACTGGGATTACCTCGCCCGGACGACGCCGAAGCCCAACCACAACAACAGCACGCCGTCGGCCCGCCTGACTTAACCATGGGGAAAGGCAAGATGCACAACAAGTAAGTGCGTGAATGACGCCGCCTGGCGCCCTCGGCCTGCAGCTCATTATGGGGGGCGGCCTCGTCGTTGTGTCCCTGTCGCACTCACGGGGCGGCCCTTAAGGGTGCGAGAGAGACAGCGGTGAACCGACCCCGGCGGGGAGTCAGTGCACTCCGTGTCAACAGGTGGACGCCGAGGCGCAAGGCTACGCAAGGCGTAAGGCGCGGCCGGCCAAGGACCGCGGAGGACGACCGAAGGGCCGGGCAGGCGGCAAGGCGGCCAAGGCCCTCAAACATGTCCTGCCTGCGTAAACAGGCTGGGCCGCGCGGCCGCGCGCGGGGGCGCGTCCAGAGCGGCGCGTCCGTCCAGCCACGCCCCGCGGCACACAGCCAGCCTACAGCCTCTAGACGAAATGATTAGCTTGTCGGTGTGAGAGTGTGCGTGTGTCTCCGTGTGTGTCTGTGTGTGCGGCTGGATCGGCGTGTTTTACTCTCGGCAGCACGGCGCTGGAATGTGCGCGGCTGCGGCTCAGCCTACGCCGCGCTGCTGATAAGGCAGGCTCATCCTGTCTGTGTGCCTCTCCAGGAGCTTGTCCGTGTGCCTCTCCAGGAGCCTCTCCAGGTCTCTCCAGTCCTCTCCAGTCCTCTCCAGTCCTCTCCAGTCCTCTCCAGTCCTCTCCAGTCCTCTCCAGACCTCTCCAGTCCTGGCGGTGCATGCGCGGGACACGTTTGGCCGCAACGACGCCGCCGTGGAATGCCGTGCGTCTTAATTAGCGCGCCGGAAGCAGCGCCAGAGCAAAGCCAGCAAAGCCAGCAAAGCAGGCCCATTCCGTCGGTCTGCCTCTCTCGCACTCATGGGGCGCTGCGCCGCGCTCCGCGGGGGTGCGAGGGAGACAGCGCGACGAGAGGCGCTCTGCCCGGCCGTACCGTGCGACGCAGTAACGCAGTCCGTCGGTGCAGATTAAACCTCTTCAACTCGTTTCAAGAACCGGAGCGAGGAGCGAGCCGAGCTCCGAGGCGCGTCCAATTGACTTTGCAATCCAAAGTCGCACACTGTTCTCTCGCTCGATCTCGTCGTCCTGACGCGTCGGCGGCGTATGGCGAACGGCTGTCATTGTCGCCGGCCTAGCTGAATGAACGCGGCCAACCGCCCCGACCGACGCGGCGCGGCGCGGCGACGCTACACTGCCCGTCGTTCTCTTCGCTCTCGTTTCTCCCGATCCGGGAATCCGGGCGATGGTCCGTGACCGCCCCCGCCTCGCCTCGCCTCCGGTACACTCCGGCGGCTTGCTCCGGTAGTCCCGCCCCGCGCAGCAGCGCAGCCTCCCTAAGCAGGAAGGGCGATAGTACTTTGGCACTTAGACGCCCGTCCCGGTCTCTTGATCCACGGTTCGAATCCCGCCGCCGCCCGGTTGGGTTCTGTTGTGTCCCCACGGAGTCCCGCTGCCGGCGGAGAACACGGAGAAGGCGTGCCTCGTCTAGCTAGTTGGCTTCGGCCTCTGTCTCTCTCGCACCCTCAGGGAACTCCGAGTGCGAGAGAGACAGGGCGACGACGGCAGTGTTCGGACTCGGCCTGCAGGCGTGGGCAGAGGCTCGCTGCCCGCTCTCATTCATAATCACGTTTGCTCGGGTTGCCCAATGGGAGGCACTGCCGCGCTGCGCTGCCGGCCGACCCCCTCGCTGCAGGCTGACTTTTAACTGTGCTCGTCGCTCCGTCTCTCTCTGTACTCACAGGGCGCGCCATAAGGCGCGAGAGAGACTGCAAAGCACTGTTCGGAATTTGGCCGCGGGCTTACGTCTAATGAGAGCTCTGTCGGCGCCTAGCGGCCTAACGCCTTGCCCGTCGGCCGTCGCTTGCTTACACTTCGCCCTTCCGGTTCCTCTTAGCAGTGCTCGCCCCAAGGCAAGCCCCAAGGCAAGCACCAAGGCAAGCCCCAAGGCAAGCCCCAAGGCAAGCCCCAAGGCAAGCCCCAAGGCAAGCCCCAAGGCAAGCCCCAAGGCAAGCCCCAAGGCAAGCCCCAAGGCAAGCCCCAAGGCAAGCCCCAAGGCAAGCCCCAAGGCAAGCCCCAAGGCAAGCCCCAAGGCAAGCCCCAAGGCAAGCCCCAAGGCAAGCCCCAAGGCAAGCCCCAAGGCAAGCCCCAAGGGCCCCAAGGCAAGCCCCAAGGCAAGCCCCAAGGCAAACCCCAAGGCAAGCCCCAAGGCAAGCCCCAAGGCAAGCCCCAAGGGCCCCAAGGCAAGCCCCAAGGGCCCCAAGCCCTTGATCCTGGCCGTCGAGGCCGTCGAGGCCCTGACCACGCCCCGGCCCGCGGCGCCGCGCCGACCCCTTGACCGCCTCGCTGTCGAGGGTCGCACTCGACGCCCCCAATGTTGGAGAGCCCCGCGGGGGGCATGGCCGTGGCCCCGCGGCGTGCCAACGCGTGCCATCGCGTGCCCTGCCAGGCAATGGTGCAAAACGATCGGGCGGGTACTTGGACTGAGCGACGACAGCGGTGTGCGGTCTGTGCGAAATCGGGCCGCTGAGTTGTGACCTTTGGCCCCGCGTTTGGCCCCCTTGGCCCGGCCCTGACCCTGGCCAGCGCTGGCCGTGGTTTCATTATCGCGTGGCCGTCGACGTCGCCGAGGCTCTGGGGCTCAGGAGGCCGGACTCGCTGGCGGACCGCCGGCCGGCCGGAACCCCCGACCCCCAGCCCCGGGCCTCGCACGGCCCCACCGCCCCGCCGCGGACTGGACTGGATCTGCCGGTCTGGATCCCAACCTGGATCCTGGATCCTTTGGCAGGCGGCCGGGGGGACTCGACCCGACCGACCCGGCTCGACTCGGCTCGACTGCAGGCGATCCTGGACAGTTATACCAGCGGCGGAGCCAAGTCTGTCCGCCCGGCTGCCTGCCTGCCCGCCTGCCTGCCTGCCTGGCGGCTCACCTGCGCTGCAGCGGACCTTTAGGCCCGTGCAGGCCGCTGTGCACGCCAACCCACTGCAGGACGGCCGGCCAGGACGGCCAGGACGGCCAGCCAACCGGAGCGTGGTCCTGCTCGGCGTGGACGGCGCGGCGTGACCCTGGAAGCGGTTCCCTGCGTCGCCGCGCTCCAGGACGGGGCGCTGCGGTCGCCAGCGCGGCCAGCGCGGCCTGCGATCGCGCGTCTAGCGCCGAGGTGCGACGGCTGCGGCGCGGCGCGGCCAGGACACACTCCTCACTCCTCGAATACTCGACACTCCTCGTCTCTGCAATTTGCAAGCCCGCGCCACTCGCCGCCACTTTCGACGGGTGACTAAGGCAGGGCTGGCCTCAAGCGCGGCCTTGTGGTCGTGGGCGCTGTGGGCCTTGTGGGTGGCCGCGGCATGGGCGGGGCGTCGCGTCGCGTCGCGTGTGCACCGTGAATCACACCGGTTATAAAATGGGATGGCGCCGATGATGCGAGTCCGGCGTCAGGGCGTTTGGCGTCGCATCGCGTGCGCCGTGCAGGCCGTGCAGTGCGGCAGGTGGACGCCAAAGTGGGACCGGCGCGGACTTCCGCCGCGACGCCGCCGGCGCACAGTGGGCCAGAAGACCGGTGGAGGCGGCCAAAACTCTAGACGCGTTTCGAGCTCCATAGTTGCCAAGCAGGACTCGAACCGAACGTATGACCCCACGAATGGATGCCTCGTTCGGAGAGCAATCCATTGATGGGGTCACACGTTCGGTTCGAGTCCCATTTAGCGACCCTGGAGCTCAAAACGCGTCTAGAGTTTTGGCCGCCTCCACCCGTCTTCTGGCCCACTGTGCGCCGGCCGCCCTGGTCGATCTGCTTCGACGCGCTGCCTCTGTCGCTCTCGTGGGGTGTGCCGTGGGGGTGCGAGAGAGACAGACGGGCTGGCCGTGTCGCGGCACTGCTTGCCTGCACCACGGCCTGCACGGCCACCGGGCACAAAGCCCGAGCCCAGCCCGCACGGCAGCGGCACCGCGGCATTGTTTGTTTATGTTGGAGAGCGCGGCGCCTGGCTCGCCTGCACCGCCTCTCTGTCTCTGTCCCTCTCGCGCCCTACCCCTGCGGCCCGCGCGGGACGGCCCGTGAGTGCGAGAGAGACGGCGACGAGAGCGCGCTTCGGAATGGCTCGGCCGACTGCTGCAGCCGGGCGGGGGAGCAAGCGCCTTGTTACGTAAATTATTGCACGCTTTGGATTTAAGACCGGGAATGCAATTGGAAACCATGACCACGGCGGCAAGGAAAATGTATGACGGGACGGAAACGAGAGTGTTGAAAGGCGGGCACTCATCGAACACGTTCTAAGCCGTGTAATCCTCCAGTAGGACTCAAATCAAACCCATGATCCAGCACACTCGGAAGAGTGTGTGACGCGAGTCATTTCAAAGGACAATGGTGGTCGAAAACGTGTCCAGAATTCGGTTCGCCTGAACTTGTCTCTACCTCTGGGCCACCCTGCAAACCTGCGACGCCGTCCCCGCCCGCCGCTCGCCGCGGCTACTCGTCTTTGTCCTCGCGGACGCAACGCAACGTGGAAACGACGAACGACAACGTGAAACAATTCGTCCTCGGCGCCCGCCTTTGTGTGCTCGGCGAAACTGGCGAAACTGTAGCGCGGAGGGTCATGTGCATGAATGATGCGCCACGCACAGTGGGCCAGAAGACCGGTGGAAGCGGCCAAAACTCCAGACGCGTTTTGAGCTCTTAAGTCCCTAAACAGGCCTCGAAACGAACGTGTGACCCCACCAATGGATTCCTCGTTCGGAGAGCAATCCATTGGTGGGGTCACACGTTCGGTTCGAGTCCCATTTAGCGACTCTGGAGCTCAAAACGCGTCGAGAGTTTTGGCCGCCTCCGCCGGCTTCTGGCCCACTGTGGCCCGCCTCGCCACGCCACGCCACGCCGCGCCACGCCACGCCACGCCACGCCACGCCACGCCACGCCACGCCACGCCACGCCACGCCGCGCCACGCCACGCCACGCCACGCCACGCCACGCCACGCCACGCCGCGCGCACGCACCGTGTTCATAGGCAGTTCAGGCGGTGCAGCGGCCCGTG